GAGTCTGTTGAAGATGAGAAGCCTGCTGAAGAGGAGAAGGTTGCTGGGGACGAGAAGGCGGTTGAAGATGAAAAAGCTACTGAGGAGGAGAAGCCTGTTGAAAGTGATAAGCCGGCCGAGGAGGAGGAGAAGGCGACTGAAGTTGAAAAGGCTGCTGAGGAGGAGAAGGCAGTTGGGGAGGAGAAACTGACTGAGTCTGTTGAAGATGAGAAGCCTGCTGAAGAGGAGAAGGTTGCTGGGGACGAGAAGGCGGTTGAAGATAAAAAAGCTACTGAGGAGGAGAAGCCTGTTGAAAGTGATAAGCCGGCTGAGGAGGAGGAGAAGGCGACTGAAGTTGAAAAGGCTGCTGAGGAGGAGAAACCTGCTGAGCCTGATACTCCACCGGAGGCATCTGTAGAAGCAGCACCGGTTGAAGAGATTCATGCAGAAGAAGAGGCGGCGGAAGAAGCCCTAGAAGAATCAATCCCGGCAGAGGAAAAGCCTGCGGAAGAGCCAATACCAGCAGAAGCAGCCCCCGACGCTTCAACAGAGCAAGAGGTTGCCGAGGCCGATGCTCCAGCAGACCAGGCAGCAGCAGAAGCATCTCCAGAAGAGGCCGCCCCAGAAGCCTCAACAGAGGAGAAGCCAGCTGAGCCTGATTCCCCAGCAGAAGAAGCCTTAGCAGAACCAGCGCCAGCGGAAGAAAAGGATGCAGAAGCAGTCTTGGCAGAAGAAGCTCCTGAAGAAGTAGCTTCTACAGAGGAAAAGCCTGCTGAAGTATCTCCGGAAGAAGCAGCCCCAGTGGAGGAGAAGCTTGCTGGAACCGAGCCCCAACTAAAGGAAGCACCAAAGGAAACTCCTGAGGAGAAACCTGCCCCTGAGGCGGTTAAACCCAAGGAGTCAGAGGATGAAACAGCCAGAAGGAGGCGGCGCTCTTCTCGCGCGCTCCCGATTGATGAGAAAACCAGAGATCGTTTTAGGAGAGGTAAGCCACAAAATATTGAAGAATCTGCTGAATCTTGTGGAGGCAGCGCCCAAGTGTAAGACGTTTGGCTGACATATCGCTCTACAGAGGAGACACGCAGGTCGTCGCGGACTGATCGAGATCGAGATCGAGACCGGGACCGGGAGAGAGACCGGGAGAGAGATAGAGACAGAGACAGGGACAGGGACAGAGAGCGACCTAGAGAGAAAGAGAGGGATAGAGATCGAGATCGAGAGCGTGAGCGTGAGAGGGACAGAGACAGAGAAAGAGACCGCGACCGGGATGGAGAACGCCGCCGGAGGCATCGCCACTCCCACCACTCTGACAAAAGCAGAGGCGAGGGTGAGCCGAAGGAGAGCAGACGACGATCGTCTCATCATCGCCACCACCGGGAGGAGATCCTCGAAGAGCCAGTTCCGAAACCGACACAGCAAACCCCACGCCGACGCGATAGCGGGTTCTCGGCTGATAGTTCTGGTAGCTCCAGCCGTCGCCAACGAAGCGCTGAAGAGCAGGAGGCCCATGGAAAGCGAAAGGCAGAACGACGAGCAAGGGAACTGGAGCGAGAAACTCGTGAACTACCGCGTTCTCGAGACGGCAAAAGCAAAGAGCATGATTCTCGAGAAATTCCACGCTCGAGAGACGGTAAAGTAAGGGAGATGGATCAAAACGACCCCCCTCGTTCCCGGGACGGCAAAACAAGAGAGATGGGTCAAAATGAACCTCCTCGTTCCAGGGACGGTAAGAGCAAGGAGCAGGAATCTGTCCGATTCAAAGAGCCTAAGCCAGAGGATGGCGAACGTCGTCACAGGCGTTCCCGCAGGCATAGTCACGCGAGCCATACGTCTAGACCGGAGCCTTCTAGGGAACCACCAGTGTCGGACCGAGACATTGAACAAGAAGAGGAAGTCCTTCCAGAGAAGAAGTTTTTCGGAATGAAGAACGCAGAAGGTGTATTACGAAGTAGTAGCTCAACACCGCCCATCCGTGAGCAGGCGGCTGCGCCGGAGCCTAGTTCAGAGGAGCCTCCGCTGGATGAACCCCCAAAGAAGCACAGAAGCTCACGACATAGACACAGCTCTAGCAGGCACCCTCCCGAGGAATCAAGACCTCGGTCTAGCAGAAAACAAGAGGCTCCCTTAGAAGAATCAAGGCCACGGTCTAGCAGAAAACAGGAGGCTCCCTCAGAAGAACCAAGGCCCCGGTCTAGCAGAAAACAAGAGGCTCCCTCAGAAGAGCGAGGCAAATCGAGCCGCGGTCCGCCCGAGGATGCCGCTCGCAAAGCGAGGTCTTACGAGAGAAGGAAAGCGAGGGAGGAAGAGAAGAAGCCTAGTGGCATCAAAGCCAGGTTCAAGAAGCTGTTTTCGAGCTCTTGAGTGGGCATTCAGGAGCACGACGATATGAATTGATGCTATCTCCTATGATTTGGGAATCTGTATAACGACTGTATGACGATAACTTTGCGAATTCATTGAAAGATTTCATTATATACTTGGGGCGAATGCTGGACAAGGCAGCTTTGCGATTTCTATTTAGCGTGTTAATACCTCGTTTCTATACAATTTATTATTCATCACCTTCACCAGCTTGGAAGTTATTAAATCTTGCTCATGTTGTTCCCCTTGACTGTATATCGATGCGTGCCAACGTGCCACTGAATGACGTGATGCATATAACGAAACCTTACACGCTTTTTTAAAAAAGAATAATAATATTATTATTTTGCCATATGCAAGGGGTGTATCAAAAACCTTACACGTGCTTCATTGATGCTTCAAAGCGCGCAAAACGCGCAAAACACGAACAAGTCTTTCGCGTGGATATTAATTGGCCTTGGCCATGCATTCGTATTATGCCTTGGTGTCAGTCTTCTTCGACCTTAGAATTTTTTTGTATGCACGTTTATGATTCTCAAAGAGAGAGAGAGTTGGCGCTATTCGGCATCACTCTGTGCCGGACCTATGAAAGATGCGAGTACACGGGAGAAATAGGACCAAATTGTCTTCGGTCCTCATGCTCTCGTATCTGCTGAGCCGCCATGACCTGCGAAGCTTCAGCCAGCTTCCTAATTTACTCCAACCTTGACTTCGGCAGCACTTGATCGGGTTTAATGTGATCAGCTATCAAAACCAAAATACTGATGTTGAGATATTTTGCCAGTCTTGCGTTGCTGGCCTTTTGATGATGAGCCTGCTAAGATCAAAGTATAAAGAGACCTGCTACATCCAGTGTTCGTCAACATGCCGCTCAACCACCGATCGTTCTATACCTGGTTGACAATCCATTACTCGAAATGAAGCTGCCTCTGATTGCTCTCGCTGCCTTGCTGACAGGGGCTCACGCTGCCCCTGTTTTGAATAACGCGGCAGTTGCTCCCCGGTACGGCAGAAAAATGCGAAAGCCAGTTGTTGGATGGCAAATGAACTGACTCTTGATATAGTAAAGGCGATTGGCAGGACAAAGACAATGAAGCGCTGTACCGTCTTGAATACCCAGACTACCGTGATGATAAGTTCAGAGTGCCTCAGGCGGAGGAACAATACTCCAACGACCTTGGTGAGTCGATGCCCACATCACATCCATCATGAGCCGAGGGTACTTGAGCTAACAGAATACAGATCAATTCTTGGAGGCGTTGCGTGAGTATTATTACAAACAGGCCGTGAAGGACAGCAAGAAGACTCCCAAGAAGAGGGTCAAGCAGGCTCCTGCAACTGTCTTGAAGGCTATGCTAAAGGACGAGAACACCAAAAAGAACACCCCTCTTCGAAAGAAACTTGCTGAGAAGGCGGCCCCCAAGAAGACTATTCCTGTTCCAAAGGCATCGTCTGGGAAGCCTATCGCCGTACAGAAGCAAGCTCCTGAAGAGCTGCCCGCCAAGGAGCCCTCACCCGCCAAGATGCCCGTCGTCAAGAAGCCCGCCATCAAGAAGCCTGCCGTCAAGAAGCCCGCACCCGCCAAGAAGCCCGCACCCGCTCAGAAGGAAGCTCCCGAGGGGGAGACCCTCAATCGTCCTGCCCAGAACGATCGTACTAAGAAGGACACATCTACTGAGAAGGATGCCTCTACTGAGAAGGAAACTCCTGCCAAGAAGGAAACTCCTGCCAAGAAGGAAACTCCTGCCAAGAAGGAAACTCCTGCCAAGAAGGAAACTCCTGCCAAGAAGGAAACTCCTGCCAAGAAGGAAACTCCTGCCAAGAAGGAAACTCCTGCCAAGAAGGAAACTCCAGCTGAGAAGGAGACTCCGCTTAAGAAGCGCTACTTATTATTTCCGGGCTTCACGGACGCCATGATGAATGGCCTTTTGGGGGCGTACAGACCAAAAGAGCGTGTAAACGAAACAGCTCTTCCAAACTAATTGGATTGGAAACGTCAAGGTTGGAGGTTGAGATGCGAGAAAGGGGTTCTGTTAGTAAACGCGAGAATAGTTTTAACTTATTTCGATTAGTCTGAACTCCTTCGAAACAAATCCTGAATTGAATGGTGATTACTTCATTTGCCCTTATCTCATACTGTTCGTCTTCGTAAACTTTGATACTGGTAAAATCACGTGGACTTAGATACAGTACGTTTCATTTCAACTACATCAATAACCATAGCAAATTAGCTATTAACACAATCAAGATCATTGACGCGTAACGTTAATGTATCTGGTTTTGCTTTTCATTTCCTCTTCTTCCTCTTCCCTTGGGTCTACAAAGCAACAGGAAGGAAAAACTGAGGAGTAAATGTCGTGAAGGCAGGAAGATGTGGCTAGGTCACGTGATATGAATAATGACCGAAATGGGGGATTGAATGTGCATCGGCAGCCGGCACATGTAATTATCCGGCACAACCCTAATTTTCAGCCATTTTCCCATCCCACCTAAAAGTTTTGGTGAAATTCCTCGAACTCGAAAAAGTTGGTTCCATAACGACAACTAAAACCAACATCTCCATTCCAGGCGCAGGATTCAATTTCTTTGCGTGTTATACCACTCAACATATCAACAATGGCTCCTCAAACAGTATGTACATGATACCGCTTTGCTGTCAAGGCTCTCCCTCCCTGCCCGCCTTCGTCTCATGAAGGCTGGCGGGAGCGAGAAGCCATCAAAAAGTGCAGTAGGCTAAGTCAATTTTTTCCCATAACAGAAGAAGGCTGGCAAGGTCCAGAAGCAGACCAAGAAGGTAAGAAGATATTGGCGAGACAATCACCAATCCCTCAATTCGATCCAGAGCACACAATTGGATACAGATTTGCTAACAATCGCTCCCGCAGTACATCATCAACGCTTCTCAGCCCGCCAACGACAAGATCTTCGATGTCTCCGCCTTCGAGAAGTTCCTCCAGGAGCGAATCAAGGTCGAGGGCCGCACCAACAACCTCGGCGAGACCGTCGTCATCTCCCAGAAGGGTGACGGCAAGATCGAGATCATTGCCCACAACGACCTCTCCGGCCGCTACCTGAAGTACCTGTATGTCTCCAACCCGGGCTCTCCTCCACGGTCATTGACACAGATGGTTCTAACTCACATCCCACAGCACCAAGAAGTTCCTCAAGAAGCAGCAGCTCCGTGACTGGCTCCGCGTGGTCTCCACCTCCCGTGGTGTCTACGAGCTCAAGTTCTTCAACGTCGTCAACGACGAGGTTGATGAGGACGACGAGTAAAGAAACCAAAAAAATCGGCGTGAGGACTGGTCTCGCACAAGGATGGATTATGAGCATTGATTGGGAAGCGTGGTTCTATTAGGCGAAACGGTCTAGTTGGGATTTCTACATATCTCTCATACACATTCAATAATCATACCATTTGAGTGGTGTCCTGGAAAACCAAAAAATTTCTCATGCCCAAGCCAAATTGCTCTGATGATCGCTCCCCCAATGCATGTACAAACTTTTCACCCTTTTCACCCTTCTCGTACTTTCCCCGCTCTATAAGATCAAACTTTCGTGTGCGCGGTCCTTGTATGCGCGGTCCTCGTATGTCAAAATACTCGACTCACTCCCCTAAAGAGTCCTCATCACCCCCTCCCACACCAACAATGCCATCGCGTTGGCCGGGAATGCCCGCAGGAAGCACGGCAGGAACCCCCTCCAGTAGCCCTTGAGCCCAGACTCCCTATACACGGTCCTGGCCGCGTCCGTCCACCTGTAGAACCTGCGCTCCCCGTCCCCCAGCCCCTTGCCGAGCGGGTCCGTCATGATGCGCTGCTTCACCAGGTCGCTCGGGTAGCTCGTGAGCCAGAAAACCTGCGCGCTCAGCCCGCCCGCCCAGAAGTTGATGGCGGGCGTGCTCATGCTCGTGTGGTCCCGCATCCAGCGCGAGAAGATGTCGTAGCTGCTCCACCAGCAGAAGAAGAAGGACCGGAAGATGAGCGTCGCCGACAGGCCGTGGAAGACCCCCCTCACGCCGTGGTGGCGGTAGATCTTGGTGAGGCAGTCGACGGGGCCCGAGTACAGCCGGTCGGACTTCCTGGCCGCGTACTGGATCTGCAGGCGGGCCTTGATGTGCTCGACGGGCGCCGCGATGAAGCTCACGGTGGCGCCCGCGCACATGCCCGCCATGCCGTGGCCCGCGGCGGGCAGCGAGGGCTTGTCCACGTGGAAGACGTGCGTGGCGATGAGGCGGCGGTACACGTTGAGCGAGCCCATCAGGATCGAGTCCATGAACATCCAGCCCAGCAGCGGCGGCGTCGCCCCCTTGTACAGGCCGCGGAACCCTTCCTGGCTGATGGTCTGCATGGCGCACTGGAGCGGCCCGCGGAATCTGGTGGCGTCTGTAGTTTGCATGCGCACCTTTACCGTATCAAAGGGATGCCCGACTAAGTTTGAGTTGTCAATGCCGCTGTTCTCTGATTGTATGCCGATATACGAAGAGTGTTCTCTCACCTGTCAACTTTGCAACGCCGCTGAAGACTCCAGCGACGAACCCCTTGTAGTCATGAGCCGACGATGTCTTCTTAGAAGGCTGGTCCAGGACGGCGACTGGTGTGATGGCGGCCGCCTGGGCACCAGCTGCCGTCACTGGCGCACTTGAGGGAGGCATTGCAGTGAAATCTCGATCAGTCGACCAACACCATCAAGACGAGCTACCCGCGGTCGTCCACCGTGTTTTACAAAGATGGCGTCGGAGCGCGCTGCGGATGGTAGCTGGATGCGATGTCGGAGCAAGACTAGCTTGTGCCCTCCGTTGCTACAGTTAAGGTAAGACGGAGAAACGGATTTATTCCTTTCGAGTACGTCAGAGATGACAGCTCTTTATCAACTAAACTGCCCGGAGATAAGGTCGATGATCTGGCCAGCTGCAGAGGAAGAGAGGAGAATGGGACCCAGGAAATGTCTGCCAATCCCACAAGGAGCATCCATCTCATACCGCCTCTACCTTCATGCTGCTATGAACCTCTTCGGGTGAATCTGCAAGTGTGCTTACTTGCCATCGGCTCCAGCACCCACCTTACAAATATGATCCAGAATAATAATTCGAAATTCACAGAGGGCTATTGGGCCGACCAGTGGGGGATAGCCCTCAAAAGAGACAAGTCTTGCGGGTACGATTATTCTATCGCAACGCTACATTTGAGCTAGGGTTCACTATCATCACATTTCGAGTCTGCGCATAGAGCAAACTACAATATCGAGTCCTGTCACCAGTATAATCCTTCACAATCCGTGAGAGTAGAGTATGCCATTGTATTATGTATTGAAGCTTAACTGCTTCTCTCGTCGCCGTGGCGCTATCTACTGCTGAAATGCAATCATGTCGTCCCCTTTCTAAGACTATCATCCGCTCTGAAACCTCCCTTTCACCATCTTTCCCTCCTTTCTCCTTGTCGTTTCTTTCCCATTGGTATTTTCTAAAGCACAAATGTACACAACGCAGCGCTTTTTGCAACTAGATAACCATGTCATATCGTCGTGAGCAATGTGTTAAGACAAAAACTGAAAACCCCCTGCTCTCATCCTTCGTTAAAAATGCCGTGATCGGCCCGGCCAATCCTGGCATAAAGGATCTCCCCAAAAACGTTAATGAGCTGCTAATTAATCCAATATACGGATCATTCCCGTGGATTTTTTTTTTAGTGTATTGTTTTCTTTTTTGTTTCGTGATACTGTTCCTTCTTGAAAGCTAGAAGGTGTCTTCAACAGTCGATGTAAGGGGTTAAACATCCCGAATAACTATTGATCGTGTGCTGTTTAATCAACACGTTTGAAAAGCCAGTCGTAGCGTTCACCACGGCGGACCTCTGCCTAAAACGTGTCCGTCTCATGGCTTGCAACGGAGCCAAAAGTATCTATGAGTTGTACGTTAGCTAAGACTTCAAATACACATATAAATAAGGGCACAAACCTCTCTTTCGACGTTTTTCCTGGTCATCGTCGTGAGTCTTGGGTGTCATTGCACGTGGTCCACTTGGTCTGCGGGTAGGGACACCAAGGGCCGCATTGAGATTGCGATTTTCTGGCTTGGGGCTACCAGTTGGAGAAGTGTAGCTATAGCCATCATCATAAGTTTGGCTTAGGGGACTGCCCTTGGCTAGTCGTGAGATCCGGGCTTTGGAAGGGGTAACGCCCGGTGAAGCGTCTAGTGGCTCTTTGGGTGGACGAGGAGGACCGGAGTTACTGCCGGGAGATGTTGGCCAGTTCTCTGCCTCCCGTGTAGCAGATACAGGTGATGCAGGAGTCTCACTGTACCTCGAAGCGCCGTGCTGCATTCTGTTAAGGCTTGTCACGGAGCCGGCCCAATCGGCAGACTTGGGTGTCATTGGGTCATTGTATTGTTGAGCTGAGTTTTCCAGTGCGTTCCGGTAGCTCTGTCCAGGACGAGGTTGGGGATGCTGTAGGTTCAGCGAGTTTCGATGAGCCCTGTACTTGGGGTCCTCTGTCCCAGAGGTGGACGACTGGAACGGTTGCTGCGACGTCCCTGCCTGGCTTGTTGGGGCGAGACTGGGATCTGAGAATCCGGTGTGAAGCTTGTCTTCACCGTATGGGTCATGTTCATACCCTTGAGCATCATAGGAGCCCAGGCTTGATCCTGAGCGAGAAGGAGGTGGCTGGTCATCATACTTGGCGTCCTTCTTACCGCTACCACGTAGAGCTCTTCCCACGCTTGTTGCAGTGCTTTCAGACCATCGTGAGATTTTTGGTAGCCAGCCAGAGGAGCTGCTCGACTTGTGTTTCTTTCCCTTTTCAGTTCGGGGAGTGTTATCGGCACTCAAAACCTGTTGGCTTTGTGGGGATTGCTGCAGCGGGCTACCGGGTGGTAAAGAGCCACCTCGGGGGGTTTCATCGAGGTTGGCAGTGCTGCCGGCCTGTCGGTTTGATGGGCTGTGATGGTCGAATTGATACTCATCATCATGTTCTTGGACAGTACTGACCCTATTGTCAGCGAGCTTGCGATCGTTGCCAATCTTTGCAGCAGTACCGCGAGACTGGATAGAGCCAGAGTGGCTAGCATAACTAGCAGTAGACACTCCTTCGGGCTCATATCCTTGGTCTTGCTCGTATTGACCTTCTGGCTGTAGATTGTCGATAGATTGGGCCCGTCCACTAGACCCGGGAGGGGCAGTCTGATTCTTGAGCACATCAACCTCCCCGAGTAGTTGCATGAGCATGTCCTCGATACGGCTCAGATCATTGGTACCCTTGGCACCCAGTCCAGCGAGGGCTCTCTTCCAAAGATTCTTCTTCTTGTTCATCATAGAATCATCGGTTCCTGGTTGCGATCCGCTTTGAATGGAGCGCGCCACGGTACCAGGGAATGGACGAGGACCGTTAATCGCCTTTTGCAGCTTCTCCGTATTCTCGACATTTGCGAAGATGATATCGTCGCCGGTGTCTTGCATCAGTTCCTTCATTTCTTGGAACGATTGTCTCATCTCGAGCGCTGCATTCATCAAAAGCGCGATGATCTCGGTGTCACGAGCGCTTCGCTGAGCGTCACGAACCATAAGCTATGAGCAAGTGTCAGTCAGTTGATTCCTTGATTTCCTTCAGAAGATTGTAGGGTGTGGGCTTACATGTTGCATCAGGGCTACGATATCCTTGTTCTCTATTCTGTCGATACCAGCTCCTGTAGCAGCATCAAAGAATGGCGATGCCATACCCTGGGACATGCCGCTAAAATGACGAGCAACGTCCTTGTTGACATAAAATGGGTCCTCGCCCATTGCTGGCTTGTTAGCATCCGCAAAAGTGAGCGCGGCTTTGCCCTTTGGCTCAACATCTGGTGACCGATTCGACATATAACCTTCGTCGAATTTCTGTGCGAAGTTGGGGCTTCCAGTATGGTACTGCGGGCCGAAAGAACCAGCCAGGTTGCGTGCCCCCAAAATATTCTCGTTCAGATTAGGATTGACGATAGGGCTGGCATCCTCGTAGGGGTTGGTGAGAAGCGTCTCTCGCTTGCGATCATCCGAAGTTCGCTGCCATTCATCTGGCTCCTGGCTTGCTTGGCGGCTGTGAGATGCTGTGGCAAGACCTGCGGCAGCTCCGGCAGCTGCTGCAGCAGCCAAGGTCTCGGAAATCCCGAGACCATTATCACCAGGGGTGTCCTGTTGCTGTCTTTCTTGGGCGATGCTTCGCTGTGTTGGTGTTGCCCGGCCAGACAGCTGTCCGTCGTCTTCTCCATCGAGGCGGTCTTGCATGATGGATGAGTTCGTTCTGGCATCTTCATCGATATAACCAAGAGCAGGGTCAGGATAATCCATATCAGGCAGACCGCTATAACCGAACTTTGGTTCAGGCTCTTCTTCGAAGCTGAACCTATCAACGCTGTGAGTAGGAGTATTTCGAGGCTCCCATCCATCCTGTGTACGCTGCTTGAATGATCGGTTTCTGTTCACTCCTGCTGGGACATAGTCCTCATTGTCCTGACCAGGAGCATGCTGCCTTTCCTGGGCAGCCTTTAGCGCTGCGGCTGCTGCGCCCACAGCTCCCGCCGTAATCGCAGCTTCAGAGGCCGTTGGTGATTGTCGGTATTTTGTACGAGTGACAGGTACCTTACGGCCATGGTCATCAACATCATACTCCGAGTATTCTTGTGATTGGGCTTGCGACCTAGCTCCTGGTGTGGCATGTCTTTCTTCGGTGAAGTCCCGTTGGTCTTCGCTAGGTTGCTTTTCTGGGCTTCTGTCACGGCTACTCTGGGTCCGGGCATCGTAAGAGAGCGTAGAATCACGAAGCCCGTAGGGGGAGCCGTTGGTGAGCACCGACTGGTCAAGCATTGATCCATCAATCAAAGATGCAACAGCAGATTCAACCGCCAGTGGAGGATGAACAAAGTTTGGATTGGCGCCAATGCCTTGGACTGGCTGCTTTGATGGAACACCTCCAGCCTCGCTGTCGGTCGAAAGTTTTCCGGCGCTCCTCTCGCTTTGGTCGCTCATGGAATACTGATCAAACTCTCTGCTTCGCAGGTTGCTTGGAGTAGATCTTAATGATCCAGCGGAGCCTCCATACGCCCCACGGTCCATTGACTTGGATGGGGAAGGATAAGCATCGCTGGCTGCTGAATGCAAGCTTCTTGAGTGCCTAGGGTGCTGTGCCTCGCTTCCTCCCTCGGTGTAGCCAGAGACACTGGGAATTGGGCTCAGACCACGAGCACCTGCTTGATACGGCACGTACTTGAGCGGTGGGGGCACGTCTTGTGTGTGATAGTACTGCTCCTCAAAAGTCTGCTCAGGATAGTCGCCTTGGTCCGAGTATTCGGGGTCGTCCTCCACATACTCGTCGTGATATCTGATGGGGATCTTCCGTCCATACTCATCAGTCTCGTATTCTTCAGCGAATCCGTCTTTGTTCTCACGCGGAAGCGCCGTCAGATCACCATGCGATACATTGGCATGGGCAGTACCAAGCGGGTGTAGAAGGTTATCGGGTGATTGTGGGTATGTAGCTCCTCCTTGCTGGATTCCGCCTCTCGGGATGTCATGTATCATTTCCTCACTGGCGGAATGAGGTCTATCAGATTCCGCAGAAAGAATGGATGTTCTCGTCAATTCGGACGGGTTGCCTTCACTCATCAGCGGCATTGGAGGGGCCGGAGCCCACTCTTCCTCTTCATACTCCTCAACATGACGATCACGTCCAAGACTTCGGCTTCGGGAGGTGTCTGTTCTCCTCCGCCTTCTGTCCCGCTGTTTTCTCTCCTCAGATTGAGACTTGTCATCCAGAAGCGAGAGTCCTTTACTGAGAGCGGCGCCTGCGGCAGCAGCCTTGAGCAAGTCGCCCCGTCTAGGTGTTGAGGGGGCAGTATCATTGTCCCGATAATCATCATTCATTGACTCACGGCTGATACTGCGAGAGGAGCTGTCAACATATTCATGACGAGCCTCCCTATTACGCCGCTCCTTAGGGCGGCTCCCATCTCTTGTAGATTCGCTTCGCTGACCCGAAGACCGCCTGCGGTCTGGAGTCACGAGATCTTCCCGAGAGATAGAGGTTCCTTCAGATGTGACGGAGTCACGGCGGGTTTCATGCTTGCTTTGTTCTCGCTTCAAAGCACTCAACTCGGGCAAAATCAACCTTCTGATGGCATCCTCCACAGTTTCCAGCAGCTTGGGGTTGTTGATAGAAGTCTTGGATGCACCAGAGCGGTTGGAATGTGTCTCCACCGAGCGATGGCTTTGGGAAAAGTTGGAGGATACGATACTGGAGTCTGCAGCTGAGACAGCAGATTCCAGTCCGCGACTCGACCGGCGCCGGGGCGACTCCTCAACACGGCGTTCAGAAGAAACATTGCTCGTCCGACTTTTAGTCCTCCTCTTCCTCTCTGGTCTCTCCTTTGACTTTTCTGACAACTTCACACGCTCGCGGCCTCCAGACCGGCTTTTATGCGTGCTATCTGCATTGGTGTGGGTTTCCGATGCAAGAGCATTGCCCCTTGACGGACTCACGCCGCGCTTGGTATCTGTTCCTGGGCCCGAGCCCGATCCGTCCAGAAAGCTATCTGCGGGAATTGCAGAAATCTCTGAAGCATTGGCAGCTTGGTATGTTGCTGCCTCAGACGGGATCAAAGGGCTAGCTGGTCTCCGACGACGGTAACTTCGCTCGCCCCGATCAATTTCAATGTCGATTGGATTTCTCGAGACAACAGACTCCTCAGTTGCTGATGCATAGGACGTCATGCTGGTTGAATCGTCACCGTCAGTGAGTTCAATCTCACGGGGCGAGTGGATGTTGTCCAGAGGGATACGGCGGGTAACAGATGCCTTTCTGGATCCTTTGCTAGACTCTGTGACCTGAATATGATCACCCCTGCCCTTCCTGGAAGGCGTCAGTCGAACCCTAACGCTCGGTTTGCGTTCAGTGCTGGTCGAGCCACCGACGGATGACCTTCCTCCCTCAAAATATTCTATTAACAGAGAAGTCTGCGATTTGCTGGCTTTATGGCCGCGAGTGCGGATTGTGACGGGAGTTCCGTCGTCAGGAATCGAGTATGACGACTTCTCGTCCCCGGGCTTGGAAAGTTCGGTGGAGGTCAACTCCGTTGGGGTTGTTGTGTCGGTTTCTGTCGGGGCGGGGAGAGGGAGAGGGACGTTTCTGGCGTCGATGCCCATTGTAATGTGATATTAGGTGAAGAGCGTTCCACTCTCTTCGGTCAGTGCTTTGCGTGTCGATGCTCACTTTGAAGAAAGTGAAGGCGCAAAGCCGATTGTCGATGCGTGCGGAGGCCAACGTGAGGAACTTGCACGTCAAGGCATCCGGGCACTATCGTGAAGCCGAAAGGGAAAAAAAAACTCTAGACTTTCCCACCTATCAGTCTCAGACAGTCGCCACATGGGACGACAACTCCGTTCCGAGAACTCACACAAAGAAACAAAAAACTGGCCGAAATGCAAGTCGAGATGAAGAACGGTCTGGGTAGGCAGACCTTAACGGCAGTAAGACCAGAAGTGCTGAGCGGTGGGGGGTCGAAAAGGTGGGCAACTAGCCGATGGCAGGGTTAATGTTGCAGCCGGGCAACCAGATATGATGAGCTCTCTAGGCAAAAGGGAACCGGGATGCGATGGGTCGAGGGCTTTAGCGGCTCTCCCCCGGACCTTGCAGGCTGGTTGCTAGGGGCTCCCGAAGCGTGCTGCGAACGAATACGTCGGATGGCAAAGCAAGGAGCATGCATTCGTTTTGTGCTGGGCTGTGGGAAAGAAAAAAACCCCGAGCCAAACTGCGTGATCACCTCGATTGTTCGCAGCTCTGCGTTGGCGCAGGAGGATTCTGCAGGGGAGAATGGCAGGCAGCACGGCAGCCAACGACAGAGTGATGCCCGACGTACACAGGTTGTTTTGGTCGAAATGTGCGGCTGGGGTGGAACTGCTTGATGAGTTGGCGCTGCCGGTGAGCACCACAGCGTGGGCCAATAATTCGTCGAGGCAGGGGTTGAGGGTGGTTGGAGTCGCTGGAGGACTGCAGCGATGAGCTGGTACGTATCCGTGCCAAGGACCTCTGGTGCTGGGGAACGTTTGGCTGTTCCACTTTAGTCAATCTGCTTTGGGGCAGGTGCCACTGAGGTAGCAATTCTTCCCAGACATGGGAGAGAAATGGAAGGCGGGAACGATTGATGCTAGTCATCATTCGCTAGGCTTTTCGCCAGGACGGGAGCCTATGCTCATTGTTTCCTCGTATGAGGGGGTGGTTGGGGACAGACAATGGGCTGGGCTGGCTTCTTTTCCTTAGGTAGCGTTCTAGCGCACACTACTGCCGCCAACAGCAGCCTGAGTGAAATACAGCTCCGCGACAACCGATACCGGCTCTTATGAGGCCTTTCGCCCGTTCGGCCACTGTTCATCTCAGCGGCGGCCTACTGGTACTTCTGAGGTACATGGAAATGGAGAAGATTCTGTCACGGCACTATTACATCACAGGTGAAGCTCTGGTACTAGTATCCTTCCTATCAGACACCGCCACTCCCCATGCGTGGGCTGTTGGGTAGCACGTAGCAATAATGAGATATCCCCGGGGCACCGCCCATGGTAATGCCGATGGTCAGGTGCGACAGATTTCACTGTGAAACAGCCCTTCGGAATCACAGTCGCACATGAGCACCATCTGCCAACCATCTGCCCCGTATGCACGCGAGCAGCAGCAGTGGCATTGCGTTTCCAACGCTGCTGACCTGGGTATCCCTACCCTTAGCCCTACCTTACTCCCGTTCACTGACCACATCCACCCGAGACAAGCAAGGCATGCCTTCGTTTTTGCTCTCGATATGCGAGCAAGAAGCCCTAGGCCACCTGCCGCCGATCGAACGACTGTGGATATACGATTCCACACGCAAGCTCTAGTCAGTTATACCCAGCAACTGGGCCGCTTTGCTCCAGGTAGGTCCCCCATTGACAAGGGCGGACGGGCCTGACGGGGAACATGCAAGTGGACATCACATGTCACAGCATGCCCGAACAGAAGCGCTCGGAAGATCAACTTTTGCAGGGGTCATCTCTTGCTCAGTTGCAAATAGAAGCAGAAATCACCCGAGTCATAGTGAGACCTCTGTAAACCCTGCCAGGTCAATAGTTAGGTTTGTCCACGCAACTGAGCCTATCGGTCTTTCGTTTGAGCATCGAACTGAACAAATGAGTTCAGCTCCAAGCAGTTCTAAAGATGTGATTGACGAGCATACTAGCTCAAGGACTAGAGACCATCAGAAAATCCTCGTGACTAGGGGAAAAGTGAAACATTTAAATCCTTCGTAACGATTGTCTCAAATACTTCGAGCTCCAATCTTGATTCCTCTGTCAGAGGGCAATTTCAAATGTAATACGCACGCCGCCACCGTTTTACCTTGAAGACTAAAGTCTAAATATCGAGAACCATAATATTAAGAGTGTGCATTATTATAGAATGTTTTTATAATTTATAACATCGAGCACCCAGCTGATATAAGCGAGTATGTTTGTGTTATAGTCTCCGAAGTCCTAACATAAACGGTTTGGCAGGCCGGGGCGGCCCCAGCCACTATTTGAGCCACTTCAACCTGCAAAATATCCACCACATAACCAACCACCTTCCTTCACACAAACCACCAACCTCTCTATTAACACCACAGCCAAATTTACGATACATGCACCATCCCGCATTCTAAAACAATGCCTCGTGCCATCAGAGGTCCGTCAGCTATCGGCCCCTGTACGGGACGCCTAAAACACCAGCCCAATTGTGTAGTAGCTGCTGACACACTCGGCCAACAGGCGTGCTGATCGAGTGCGATCCCTCCATCAAGTCCATCATTGTGAACATCGACAGTAAAAACCATGACTTCATCATCGAGGACCTCGACGAGGAGCGTGTCGTCGTCAAGGAAAACATGGTCGGCGAGCTGAAGCGGCGACTAGAGGATGTGAGCCATCATTCCACCCCGTCTACATTGTTACTGGCATTGCACGACGACTCTCGAACTCAATTCATTCATTGTATACTAATAATCTACCACCCAGCGCCTCAAGGAAAACCTTCCTCCCGTAGAAGAATCCGGATCCGAATAACGACCCCCTCCCCTCCCCTCCCGAACTCGCACGACAAATCTACAACTTCTCAAACGTCGGCTTCGTCCGCTTCAGACCGCTCAGCAGAGCCTTCTGGAAGTCCTCGCTCTGCACGTTCGCCGAGTTCCAAATAGTAGTGTACCGAAGGCTGTCCACGGTCCCGTGGTCCCTCCCGTAATTGAGCAGCTCCTTGGTGCCCTGGACCGCCACGGGGCTCTTCTCCGACAGTCGCGCCGCCATCGCCAGCGCCGCTCCCACCGCCTTGCCCTTGTCCTCGTGCACGGCGCTGACGAATCCCACCGACAGCGCCTCCTGCGCCGAGAACTCCCGCGCCGACATGCAGACGTCCTTGACCCACGAGGTCGATCCCACAACCTTGGGCAGGCGGGCCAGCGTGCCTACGTCGGCAGCGATGCCAATGTCCACCTCCTTGACCGAGAAGCGGGTGTTGGCGGCGCAGATGCGTATATCAGCACAAGTGGCAATATCAATAGCCAGTCCGAACGAGACACCATGTAGCACACAAATAACAGCTGTTTTCCCAATCATACCCCAGGTTAGCAACTGTGCATGAACGGTAGACAACCTCGTAGAAGACATCCTCCCAAACCCTCCTCATAAAAGAAAGATCCCCAGGGAAAGGGAACAGCACTCACGTTTCTCACACTTCTCCATCGCCCCAACACACACCTGAAACTCCTCAATCGTCGCCCTCAGCGCCTTCGCCCTCCTCGCCACGTCCCGCGACAAGCCCTTCTGCTCAAACATGCCGGCCGAGTCCACCACGTCCAGCCCGGCCGTGAACGCCTTGTCCCCCGCGCCGCTCAGCACCACCGCCCGCACGTCGGCGTCGGCGCTCAGCTGCTCGAACACCGCCCCGAACTCGAGCCAGACGTCGCGCGCAAAGGCATTGAGCTTCTTGGGCCGGTTGATCTCGACGTGCGCCACCCCGGCGGACGGGGCGCTGACCACGAAGTTCTTGTACTTTTGGTACTCCGGCGACGCCGATGACGTTGACATTTTGGTATAGTTGTGAAGGATTCGGGCTTAAAATGAAGATTCCTGGGGTGTGAGATTACTCTTGGAGATATGAGAGAAATCAATGGGGTTAAAAAAACAATGTCAGAGGAACAATTCAGATCGCTGGAAGACAGTTATAAGCCACAGGTATGATAATTATAGTACTTACTCCCTGCCGTCTTTGATGCCGAGGTCGTTATGAAAGCCGCCCCATCCCGCGTGGGGTCCCCGGCTTCCCACATGACAGGCACTCCGCCAGGCTAGGCAAGAGGATACAGTGAGCTAGGTTTCGAATTCCTATCTACGTTCGCTCCGGAGATGTGATTGTCGACTTCTTCACGCGATTGTATACTGGTTTCAGTCCACGTCGATAGAATCAAGCATATATTAATGTACCAAAACCTGCAAGGGAAAAAGAGAAGTCAAGTTCCATCTATGTATAAACAAGCCAGAAAAACCTTGGCAGAAACTGCAAACCGTTTACCAGGGGGCAAGCTAAATAGAGCCCCGACCGTTACCAGACGCCTTGTTAATCTGCTTTGATGTGCGCAATAACATGTTTACCTCCATCGTCCTAAGCAATGCAAGTTTACTATATCCATCCTCCCACCTGGGACCCTAGCTCGGAGCCGAGTCCCTGTCATTAACCCAGAAACATCTTCATTTTCATTTCTCTACAGCAGGAATACGCCGACCATGGAGCCGAAAAGGGCGGCAGCGGTGACGGCAATAGGAACGCGAGTAGAGGGGGCAGCGCCCTTATCGTCTGATCCGCTGCTGCTTCCAGAAGATGTAGGAGAAGCCTGGCCAGATGTGGCGCTGGCGGTGGCAGTGCCAGAGTCACCATCAGTCTGTGAGCCCTTGCCCTTCAGGCCAGGGCCGTCACCGGCACCGCTCTTCATGTACTTTTCGGCTTGGCTAGGCATGTTTGGAATGAAGGTGGAGTCAACGTCCCAGTCGGCGTCCTTGGGAGGGCACTCAGAGGACGAGGTCTCCTTGGCGGCACCGCCGTCGGTGGTGGGCATAGGGTACTTGGCGAGCTTCTTCTTGAAGATGTCGAA